TGTATTAATTTGTAAGTGTCATATTTGGCAGATGGAATTAGAAGTTATATGACTAATAATCATATGGCATATGAGAAGTTTATACCACAGAAAATTTTTTAAATATACCTTTTTCGAAGTTGCTGTATATAAAAATCACAAGGTGGTTGAATTTTCATGCTGTTTAGATAGCTGAAGCTTATAGGCGTTCATTCGATTTTTAGCACCCCCTCTGAACTGTTAAGCCCACCCCACAAATTAATTGTTGTAGGCTAACCTGATCTCATGAAAGTGCGTATAGCACGATTTTCTGCTTCTATTTGGCGTAATATTTCTATGCAGAAATTTACTTTGGCATGCAAAACACTGATAAATTCATAATTAATGGCATGACTGGTTCAGTCGACAGAAATATGGGAGACATAGGTCTATAATAACTGCTGAAATGTTTTACGGGGCAAATCTCAGGTCAGTCTGAGCGCTCATGGAACGCAGCCCTACACCTGCAGGCGCCACTGAAGGGAACAATAGTACATCAAGCAAAAAATGCTGTTCATAAACATTGTACCCAGAAAGAAAGAGAGAGAGAGTTTATTTATTTATTTTTTTACAGAAAACATGAAAGGTCAAAATCCTCATTCAAACCTTAAGTTGACATTGTCTTTAAATAAAACATCCAGATCACATCTCTTTGTAAAAGTTTTTTGTCAATATCTCCACCACGGTGAGATACTTTCACATCTTCAATATACATTTAAGTTATTCTAGCAAAACGTATACATTTAAGTTGTTCTATTATCATGGTTACAATCAATAAAATGTCTGGCGATTGGAGAAGTAACATCATGTCGAATAGATGATGTATGTTCACTTAGTGACCTTGATGTCTTTCCAACATACATCAATGGACAGAATACTGAAGTAAATAAATATAATTCTTAGTAGAACATGTTATGCGAGATTTAGTCTGATAACACTTTTTTAGACTCACGCCCTATAAAGTGAGCAGACGTTTGCACCGCCTGTTTGGTTTACCTGTTTACACGTTCATAACGTGTTGAGTCGGACAAAACGCACGTATTCGACGCCCATTTCTGTTATGATAAACGCACGTCAATAACGCGCGTTTTTTTTTGGTGACTCCAAAGCGCGCGTCAAATTTTTACAGCAAATCACACGTCGAGGACGCGCGTTTTTTGCTGTCAAATCGTTCGCTTTTGACGTGTCAGTGTACAATCAGACGCCCGTCCAGGCGTATGTGAATACTTTGGCTTGCCATAACACGCACGCACGCACGCTCGCACCCCTTGTCGGTCTTGGCCACTTGAGAGCGCGTGCGCGTGACAGGAAGTAAGTGCGCAAGACTGCCCCAGGTCTTCAAAACGCCAGAGCGCAGTGCCCTTAACGCACACTAAACCCACACTATCTCCAGTACCGCTCCGGAGCGCTATTCAAGGCTTAGTGTATCCCATCATGCATCATGTTCTGGAAATAAATCATGAGACTTTTTGCCGAGATCTCACGAGAGGTCACCTCGGTGGAAACCTTTCCAATGCAAGTTAATTATTAATATAATAATTCGATATGACATAATTTGGTAGAAAAACAGTGTTTTTACGTTTTATTGGTGCAAAGATGAGTAGTGGTGATATGTATTTTGTACAACATTTGCAACTGCTTTTTATCACTTAATTAGAAGCACCACAAATTAAAATTGTCATGTTATAGGGACTACTGAACAGACATTTAGAAGTTGATTTTAAAATGCAAAGTATTTAAAATTAAAATGTAAATAAAGCTATGTAAACACTTGCATTTTTACAACACTACAAGTGTGTCCCATCAGGTAATAAAAAGTTCGACATACACTTGTGGTCTTCATCCTCACTTGAACACTTGGACAAAATACAGGAAATACGTCATATAGTCAAGTGGTCAAGTGCAAAGACCGTATTACCTATAATACAAAGGGTATTTGGACAAGGCAACACACACACACTCACACGCATGCACACACGCATGCATGCACGCACGCACTGACACACACACACACACACACACACACACACACACACACACACACACACACAGAAGGGAGAGTTTAGTGGAAACGGAAGGAGTATAGTGGAAACGGAAGGAGTATAGTGGAAACGGAAGGAGTATAGTGGAAACGGAAGGAGTATAGTGGAAACGGAAGGCATATAGTGGAAACGGAAGGAGTATAGTGGAAACGGAAGGCGCGCCGTATAGTGTAAACGGAAGGAGTATAGTGGAAACGGAAGGCAGGTCAGGCGCGATCAGGGTCACCGGGACAGGTCATGATCAGCATGGCTGACGTAAATGAGGCGGCCGCATAAGTATTTCAGCAAGCTATTTGGATTAAAAAAAAAATATTATCATCGTGAAAAGGTTACGGCCTCGTCCCTTGAGCGAGTTGTGATTGAGGACGCGGGCTCAGCCTCAGTCATGTTGCTCCACCCACAAATGTGTTATAGGGATAGTCAACACTATGAAAGACAGCAGCTAATTATCAGCTTCAGTGGTGTAGATGGTAAAACGCGCACTGTAGTCTTTATGACGCGATCGACCCGGGTTCGAATCCGCCTTTTACCGAAATCCTTTTGAAATCTCATATCACATCGGAAAGGCGTTTATTTTCAATAAAAATTAAGGAAACAATCAAAAAGTTGAAAATAAAGTATCGGGTAGGGTTAGGGAGGGCTTTATTGTCCCAATAAGGTGGCATCGTGCAGACATACATATAATTAAGGTAATAAAACACTAATAATAATAAAGAGTAATAATAAAATATTCATTCAGCCCGTCTGATGTTTTTGTTTTGTGCAGTTGCTTCATGTTGCATATATTTTTGTTTGTTTGTTTAAGGTTAGTTTGGCCAGTAACAGAGCAAAATAAACATTTAATGTAAAAAAAAAAAAGTAATAAAAGCAATAAAAAGGAAATAAATTGGCAACGAGTATGGGAATGGGCTCATTTGATTGTAAAAAAAATAAAATAAATAAAAAAATCGACAATTGGAATCGGTCACGAAAAATCCTGATCAGTGCATCCTTAACTGGAATAGTTAGACCTACCTGAAAAAGCATGCTTCATTTCAGTTTTATCTTTGAACTATTGTTCCTATTTGTGCAAAATGGTTATCATTTATTACAATACAATGTTACAGTCAACAATGAAAACAATAAGTCTTATTTATTGATTTATTGTTTGACTGATTGTGGCAAGGCCTGTGAAAATTTTGCCAGGGCAAGTAAAAAATT